CGAGGGTCGAGAATCAGTTCTATTATTCTGGGTTTTCTTTGGGAACAATAATAGGAACTCGATCGCATATTTGGTTGTTAATTGTGTTTATTAGTGGTTTACAGCGAGAATCGTAGAATTTGGTATCTGGATACAGCGTATGCACCTATTCAGTATAGTTTAGGGATCTCACGTAGTGACATTGTAAAGCCAGCTGTTCACTACATTTGGGGGGCGTTCCGGGAAATATATTACTAAAATTAAAACAAAACAACGGCAACACACGCTTATTTCACACAAACAACTCCATTCGACGGACCTGGGGGCCTCCGAGAGCAAGCTCCAGGGAGATAATCGCCATGCATTTACATAGCGGCCGGGTGATAAGTGCACCTGACCCACCAGCGAGCAGCATTTCCACTGCACGGGAATCAAGCCGATCCATCCGCCCTTCGGCACCTCAACCTACCGCCTCCTCCAGTTCAGCCTCTCGAGAACTTCCTCTATTGCTGGCTCCAAAGAAACCGGTCGCGGAAATGCAGCCACAAGGGCAACAGTCCGAGGAAACAGCTAAATTAAAGCGACGAATAGAAAGACTGCAAGATTGCCTTCAACAGATGAGTGGACAGCGGTCGACACCCGCACAAGCGCCGCCTATTCCTAGCGAAAAGGGCAATAATATGAACTCCTTTTTGACGCTTATGGAGCGACGGTTCATGAAGATGGGTCTTTCGCCAGAGCACTGTGGTGATGAGCTCGGGGAATACCTCGATGAGGACGCCCTACGGTGTTGGACGGAGATGCAACGATCCGGTGCGGGCGTGACTGATTGGTCACTCGTTAAACAGGAACTACTAAAAAGTTTCTGCACGGCATATCGAGCAACACTCATTTACCAAATGACAACTAACAAATGGACTGGGAACTGCAGCGCCTACTCGGCTAACTTCAGTCGAATCACGGGTCGCGGAGTTCAGCTGTCGGCAGAAGACCTAGTTGGCTACTTCTTGACGAATATCCCAGCGGGACTCAGATGGGCCCTAACACAGCCAGGCAAGATCCAATTCAGTAATTGGCGGGCTGCATCCAAGGCATCAGCCGCTATCGCCGCCCCGTGGGGAGCCGCACAGGAGGAATACCCTAGGCGTGAACGGGAATTCCAACTTAGTCTGGCAGGAAGGGCTGCGGAGTTTCCACGTGAGTCAGGTGTCTACTGGAATTAGACGGTACACCCAGGCATCGGGTGACCGAACAGAAATGGTATGTTACCAGTTTAAGGGCAAGGGGCACATGGCTAAGAATTGTCCAACCGGCGATCCGAAGTTGCGCAAACCTGGAGAAACGTGTCGGAACTGCGGATGCTTGGGCCACTACGCACGCGCGTGTCGAACACCTGGTCGTATGAGGACAGGAGCGGGCAGCTATAATTCCTCGGCAACCGCACGGCAGACAGAGCAGCATTCTCACCGTTTAAACGAGGGAGCCTAGACGTTTGCGGGAGACAAACGTGCTAGGCCGCCAAATCGTAGTAGAGGTGTGATGTGCGCAGTAGCGACAGAACCTAATGCCATTCCAGTCTCCCTTCAGTGGACAGAGAAGCTGATCCATAAGGAGCAAGGGGCGCCAGTGGGCGATCTAGGGCCGTCCGCTTGTCGGAAGCTGTCCGCAGAGGGACGGACAGCTGCACAGGCTCCCTCAGGCAGCAGGGAGGTGGCGCGTGATACCGACAACAGCCGAGAAGTGAATGACGGAGTATCTCTTGAGGCCAGTCAATCTGTCGCAAACGTTGAGTTGCCACCGTGGTGGCGGGAGCTCGTTTTCAATGAGGGCTCCAAAATGGAAGGAATGCTATGCAGCGTGGGTACGCCCGCCGTACTATCCGTGGAGGTGGTAGGGCGCTCCTGTGAGGCGCTCCGAGACACTAGAGCCTCACGCAGTTTCATCAACCCTCGAGTGGTTGACGCCTTACAGCTGAAAGTGAGGAAACTTTCGGATATGTGTGTATTTACCGTTGCGAACGGTGCTCAGTTGCGTATTGATCGAACCGTGAAGAATTTGACGGCCTGGTGTGGACGTGAATGTTTTGCCGGGGATTATCTAGTGGGCCCAGTTCCCTATGATATAGTCCTCGGATTTGATTGGTTGACGAAGCATAAAGTTTCCTGGTACCTCTAATCGGATAAGTTGAGAACGTATCTGGATGGCAGGCGGTGTGAATTGCCCCTAGTGCGCACACATATGGACAAACTAACTGAAGACGGCCATCAAACCGCGCCCAAACGGACTCCAGCAGAAGAAGCGTACGATTTTCTGGCTCGGCAGGTGGCTTTGATGACTGAAGCGGAGGCCGGTGCCCTTCTACGGTCGCCTCCTAAGCGAAGTAAGCAACACACCAAGCCTGGATGGAAAGTGCCCATTAAAGTTTTGATCGAACAAGCACGAACCAACACCACTGGATTACGAACCCCACTACACGGTATGAATATGATATTGGCTTTGCCCGAAGTTGACGGATCCGTTGCCCTTAGGATACCTACGGGACAACAAGGAGTCTTGTGCTGTGCAATTATTATTTAGCCTTGACAATTCACAGACAGCGGAAGTCCTCCCTACACCTTCAGCAGATATAACGCATACCTAGGATGATGAAGACTCGTCATGGCATACAGCCAAGCTGGAGTTCACCCTTTCCGACACTTGGATGCAGTCACCCAAGTCCTAGGACCTCCCAGAGGAGATACGTGAAGTGTTGCAGACACATAGAGAAGTTTTCCCTGACAACCTGCCACCAGACTTACCACCCAAGCGCCCGCACGATCACCACATCCTATTAGCCCCTGGCAAGCTCCCAGCTAAATCGGCTATATACCGTATGACTCCTGACCAGCTTCGCTTCCACCAACAGGAAATCGCCAAGCTGTCAGCACATGGATGGATCGGTCCCACGTACTCCCCCATCTGCGCACCCAGGATCATGGTGGATAAACGAGATGATGGTACAGGCGAGCGTCAGGCGCGCATGGTGGTTAACTACCAAGCCCTCAATGCGCCTACGGTAGTGCCTGACTTCCCATTACCTCCGGTCCAAACGATCTTGGAGATGCTGGGCGGCGCCAAGTATTTCTCCACCCTCGACTTAGAGGCAGGCTTCCACCAGATCCGCATGGCCAAAGAGGATCGCTGGAAGGCAGCCTTCCGTTCAGTCTTGGGCCTGTTCGAATACAAAGCCATGCCGTTAGGCCTGAAGGGTACTCCCGCTACCTTTCAAGCAAACATAAATGCCTACTTACAACCCTTGCTAGGTCATGGAGTGATTGCATACCTTGATGATGTTCTCATATATTCAGCTGGTCTACCTACTCATGTTGTTCTCCTACGGAAGGTGTTAAGCATCTTTCTCACTAATCAATTATACCCGAAATTCCGCAAGTGCCAGTTCGCGCGCCAAGAACTCACGTATTTGGGATACACCGTCAGTGCAGACGGAATAAAACCTGCAGCCGACGAGATCGAAGCAATCCGGGTGTGGCCAGAGGTGCTGGAGAATGAATGCAAGTACGCCAGTTCCTTGGCACTGTTAATTAATGTCGTATGTTTATGGGTCCCGATTATGCAGA